GACTCGGGATGTAAACACCAGCACACTTAAAAAGAAGTATAACTTCGCCTCCAGGTCCTTCAAAAGAGTTATTGCCAGTGCAAAGTCAGTGCACATAGGCAGAATTGGCGAGAAACTAGTTCGCCTTCCTTCGGGAACCCGTGCATTCTGGTCTCTCGCCAAGGCTATCCAAGGGAATTTCTGTAAGACATCACTACCATCTCTGCACAGGGAGGACGACTCACTGGCCCAAGCCGCAAAAGGCAAAGCCGACCTTTTAGGCTCCCTTTTTGCGTCCAACTAGACTCTTGATGACGGAGGAAAACATCGGGAAAACACCATCCCGCGGTGTGAGTGCGCCATGCCGGATGTGATGTTCTCGCAGCGCTCGGTTCGCAAAGCACTCCTCTCCCTGGACATCCAGAAGTCGAGTGGGCCTGACGGAATCCCCCCAATTGTGCTGAGGACGTGTGCTTCGGAGTTGGCACCGGTTCTAACGCGTCTTTTCCGTTACTCCTACTCCCTAGGCGTAGTCCCGAAATCATGGAAGACAGCTTTTGTCCACCCGATCCCTAAAAAAGGCGACCGCTCAGACCCGTCCAACTATAGGCCTATCGCCATCACCTCCTTGTTTTCCAAAATAATGGAATCCATTATTAACTGCCAGCTCATGCGCTACCTTGAGGATCACCACCTGATTAGTGACCGCCAATACGGTTTTCGTCGGGGTCGATTAGCTGGTGATCTTCTGGTCTACTTGACCCATAGATGGGCGGAGGCAGTAGAGCCCAAGGGGGAGGCGTTGGCCGTTATTTTGGACATTGCGAAGGCCTTCGATCGGGTTTGGCGCAAAGCGCTTCTTTCGAAGTTCCCTTCCTATGGGCTTCCCGAGAAATTGTGCAATTGGCTCACCAGCTTTCTTGCAGATCGGAGCATCAAGGTCGTTGTAGACGGCGCATGCTCCGATTACAAGCCTATTAACGCTGGTGTTCCACAAGGCTGCGTGCTATCACCAACGCTGTTTCTTCTGCATATCAATGATATGTTGCTAACTGGTAACATTCATTGCTATGCGGATGACAGCACTGGTGCTGCTCTATGCGCCGGCCGTGCCAATATTTCTCGGGAAAACGACGCCGAGTACCGGAACCAACTTGTGTCTGAAGTCGAGTCTTTCGAGTCGAGTCTGAACAAAGTCTCGGATTGGGGGCGACTAAATCTAGTCCAGTTTAATCCTCAGAAGACACAAGTTTGCGCGTTTACCGCTAAAAAGAACCCCTTTGTCGTATCTCCTCAGTTTCAAGGCACTCTCCTTCTTGCCTCAGCCAGTATCGGAATCCTCGGCGTCGACATATCGAGTGACGTGCAGTTTCGTGGTCACTTGGAAGAGAAGGCCAAATTGGTCTCTAAAAAGCTTGGCGTGCTCAGCAGAGCGGGACAGTATTTCATGCCGGCACACCGCCGGTATACCTCAAAACTTGAAAACGAGACTGTATAACCAGTGCGTGTTACCAGTGATGACATACGGAACTGAGACGTGGTCCTTCACTGCTGGCCAGATGAAGAAGCTCAAGGTCGCTCAGCGAGCTATGAAGAGGGCTATGCTCGAAGTTTCTCTGCGTGATAAACTCAGAAATGAGGATATCCGCAGTAGAACCAGAGTGACCGACATAGCCCAACGGATTAGTAAACTGAAGTGGCAGTGGGCCGGCCATATAGCTCGAAGAACCGACAACCGATGGGGAAGAAAGGTTCTCGAGTGGCAGCCTCGTACCGGCAGGCGAAGTGTTGGGCGTCCCCCCACTAGATGGAGTGACGACCTGTTAAGATATGCAGGAAGTCGATGGATGCAGGTGGCTCAGGACCGTGCTTTGTGGCATTTCTTGGGGGAGGCCTATGTTCAGCAGTGGACTTGTGAAGGGCTGTAATGATGGTGATGATGACACCGCCTGCAACTTTACAAGGCGCAGGTTCGGCCTCACACGGAATACTGTTCCCATCTCTGGGCAGGGGCTCCCCAGTGCCAGCTCCTTCCACTTGACCGCATCCAGCGCAGGGCGGCTCGAATTGTCAACGACCGAGTCCTTTCCGATCGGCTTGATTCATTGGCACTGCGAAGAGATGTTGCATCTCATTGCATTTTCTTTCGCATTTACCACGGGGAGTGCTCTGAGGAATTGTTCGGATTAATCCCAGCTGCCAAATTTCACGAACGCACATCGCAGCAGAACTTACGATACCATCCACACCATCTGGATGATTGGCGGTCCACCACTGTGCGATTTAGAAGATGTTTTCTTCCTCGCACGACTTCCTTGTGGAATCGATTACCATCAGCGATTTTTCCGGACCGATATGACTTAGGGACCTTCAAGAAAAGAGCCTACTCCTTTTTAAAAGGCCGGCAACGCATCTGCAATTCCCCTGGTTCCCCTGGTGTTGCAGTTGTTCATGGACGTCGGTAGTCATTTACCATCAGGTGAGCCGCATGCTCGTTTGCCCCCTTTCCTATAAAAAAAAACTTGAGTAATATCGATACTTTCAAATCGATACTAAGTATATTTAAACATGGTATTTTTGTTCCGATATTTTTGAGGTATCGATACTTTTAACAAAATTTGAGCCACATCATTAGATGTGGGTCGTAGGAGTAAGGGATTACCCTTTTATAGACAATAGCTTATGTTTAGAGCATTTGTTGCCAGTTTCTCATGATTGGTACCTATTTAGTAGATTTATTTTTATCAATTAAGTAAAAAATGATTTAATACATTTTAATCCTGATTTACTTTTTTACTGTTGCTCTAATTTATTTTAGTACCGACAATTTAATACGTCGAAATTTAAATTTAGTTACTTTGATACTATTATTAAGGGTCTCATTGGTAATAAAACCGAACTCCAAGTTCCGAAATCTTTCGGATAATATTTGATATTACGGATATTACTCAATCGGAAGAAGAAAGTACTCGATACCTAACAATATCGTTAATTTTGATTCGATACTTTTCTCAGTATTGATAAATCTATACGATACTGGTATCGAGTAAAGTATCGATACTTTTGAAATTTTGTGGAACACTAAGAAGAAGAAATACCTAAATAGTAAATAAAGAACCAACTCGACTAGCACTCAGAAACTGGAATCCTAAAAAAAAACATCCGAATTTTCTGCCGATTTTACGTATCTGAACTGGCAACCCTTTCAGTCTGTGTATGTTTGATGGGGATTTCCCTCAAACTTTCGGAGGAATACTACTCTTTAGCTACATTCGTACAACGCGACATTTTTATGATGATTTTTAGCGGGGCTGATTAATCATATAAATATTGAAGCGCGCGTGTATTTACTACGTATCTGTATGTTTTATAAATTAAATTGTATTACGTAAAAAATACGTAATATTTAACACATCTTGCTAAAAAGTGTACTTACTTTTTGTTCCCTAAGGTAAATACTAAATAGTAAAATAAGCTTAGTGCCGATTTCACCATCTCCGGTTAGCCTATTCGTCAATTAAATTTTCAGTTTTTTGACAGTTGTTGTATGAGTTTGACAGTTCTTATTTGACAAACAGGCTATTCGGTACTTTAATAACAAATGGTGAAACGGGCCCTTAATTTAATATTGACCGCAAGGTATGTTAAAAATGTTTTAAGTGGTATATTAATCGTGAAAATTAACATTGCTCCTCTTTCGGCTTGTTAATTCTCATCTGTGACTGCTCACTAGCAGCCACCCGTGGCTTCGTTCACGCGCCCACCATAATTATTATTCTCGTGGGAATGAGTAACTTTTCTGAGGTCAAAAGTAGCCTATGTCAATGTCCTTTTCCAAACTTCAATTTATATCTATACATACCAAAATTTATCCAAATTGATTCATTGGTTTAATCGAAAAAACGTAGCAGTCAGAGAAACAGAATGACTTTCGAATTTTCAACATTAGCAATGTTATTATTTCATATTTTTATTTTTACCGTAGAGAATGGCTGACGGTAGATCACGCTTATCGGGACACCAATACAAAAAACGAAGACTTGAAAAAGATGCAGAGCGACAATAGTAAGCAGGGGCATTAACGTCCTATTTGAAGAAAGGTGAACTAAACAAAACAATCGTCATCCATACCAGAAACCGATGCTAAGCTGAGATTCCGCTTAAACCTCGAGAAGAAAATACGTCCGATTCCAATATAATCTGCGAAACTGGTACTTCTGGGTCAAGCGAATATATTTGGTAAATAGAGGTTCTCCAGACCCACTGTATGTATTTGAAGTTCCACAAGATATCAATTGTCGGAGGTTTACTTCGAGATACTACAAGAGAAAGCTTAATAACGGTAAAGAAATTTTGAGAGATTGGCTTGTATATTCTGTGGCAAAAAATTCGTTGTATTGCTTTTGCTGTAAAATCTTCAATACAACTACAACTTCCGGTCTATCTGAAGATGGCTAAAAAAATTGGAAGCATGTAGTTGATATTCTTAAATCTTATGAGGCATCACGAAATCATGTAGAAGCTGTAAAATCTTGAGTAGAACTTTTACGTAGGCTCAAATCGTGTCGTACGATAGATCTCGAGTCACAGACAATAATTAAATCAGAAATAGAACACTGGAGCAGTTACGATAGCCACAATCATCAAAATGTTGGCTAAAATGGCTTGGCTTTTCAAGGTACTTCTAATAAACTGTATCAATTGTAATTTTTTATTTTTTAAAACTAGTAGAGTTGTTAGCCGAATTTGATCCCGTTATGCAGGAACATGTACGCAGAGTTTTGAAAAAAAGGAGAAACAAGCAACCTACTTAAGTAAAACAATTCAAAATGATTTCATTAATACAATTTCAGACGGCATAAAAAAACATATTATAGAAGATATTATTACATCCAAATATTATTCTATTATTTTAGATTGTACTCCAGACGCTAGCAAAACTGAGCAGATGACCATGATAATTAGGTATATTTCTATTATTCAATCCCAAGACCATTCAAGAACGTCAGAGATAGTAATAAATGAAAGTTTTTTTAGGATTTATACCAATAGAGAAATATACAGGTCTGGCACTAACAGAAATTATCGTGGAACAATTATCAGCACATGGATTGTCTTTAGAAAACATAAGAGAGCAAGGGTGCGATAATGGATCTAATATGAAAGGTATTCAAAGTGGCGTCAAAGCCAGGATTAAAAACATCAATCCACGGGCATTTTACGTTCCTTGCAGGAGTCATTCTTTAAACTTAGTGGTAAACGATATGGCAAAGTCCTCACTGGGAGCTACAATTTTTCTTAATACTTTGCAAAAATATATGGTTCTTTTTCCTCTTCAACATCAAGGTGGTGAATTTTTTTGAAGAATGTAAAAGGTATTACTCTAAAACCATTTAGTGACACGAGATGGGAAAGTCTAATCGAAGCAATAAAACCACTAAGACATCAAATAGGATAAGTTTACGATGCTTTGTTTAGTGTTTACGATGCCATAATGTGGAAGACAAAACGTGGAGCTTCCAATGCAATAGTGTGACAGCACGTAGTTCGGAGCTTCTAGTGCGATAGTTTGAAAGCACGAAACACGGAACTTCTGATGCGATATTGTGAAAAACACAAAACGTGGAGTTTCCAATGTAATAGTGTGACAGCACGTAGCGCGGAGCTTCTGATGCGATAGTTTGAAAGCACGAAGCACGGAACTTCCGATGCGATATTGTGAAAAACACAAAACGTGGAGCTTCCAATGCAATAGTATGACAGCGTAAAGCGTGGAGCTAATGATTTAATAGTGTGGAAGACAAAACTTTATACGTGGTAGAGCCATACTGCAGCTATTAGTAGTATAGTTGTAGCACGAATGGGTCAGCTCGACCGGCGAAGGACCACGCTCTCACAGAATACCAACGTAAAATAGCAGCTTAACGCTGCTGTGTTTCGTATGTGATCGTAACGAGGCATTCCATCTTAGTCCTCACGGGTGACAACGCATTTGCATTTTGATTCGTAATCGAAGATAGATGTAGGTGTCTATGGACCACAGTAACCACTTACCATCAGGTGGACTATGTGCTCGTTTGTCACCCTTATCCTATAAAAAAAAACCTTCAATGTAATAATGTGACAGCACGTAGCGCGGAGCTTCCGATGCGATAGTTTCAAAGCACGAAGCATGGAACTACCGATGCGATATTGTGCAAAACAAAAATGTGGAGCTTCCAATGCGACAGTGTTGAAGACAACGCGTAGAGCTCAAATGCAATAGTGTGAAACCACCAAGCGCGGAGCTTCGAATGCGATAGTCGTGCCGTTGATCCTTGGGACACCTCATCTTGGGACAGCCTGTATAAACCACAAGGCCTAATCTCACTTGTAATCCTAATATATATTTTTTAAATTTCATTGTTTCTTTCAATAAACCTATTGACACATGCCAAAATATTTTTGACATAAAATGAGTTTATAAAAAATACAATTTATTTCAATTTAATATCTAGACCATTTTTCTACCATTTTTATCTATAAAAATTATAGTTTTATTTTGTATAGTTAAACATGCTAACCAAATTTTGCGCCATTTTTGTAAATAGATTAAGGGCGTCGAACAGTATTATCAAGAGAAATGTGTATTATCAATATAAATATGATTGTAACGTGGAGTCAGCTATAAATCAGCAGATTCAAGCAGAGCAGCAAGCGGCTCAAGATTACTTGTCAATGGCAACAAATTTTCTACATCCATGTTTATCACGCCCAGGCGCTGGTGGTTTTTTTATGAAAATGTATAAAGAGGAACTTGATCATATGCAGCGACTAATTGAATATCAGTTGATAAGAGGAGGGGCAATTATTATAAGTGGACTTAATGCACCGACAGTTAATGAAAATTTGACATTGTATTGTGCTTTTAAACAAAGTCTTAACATGGAAAAATCGGTCACAGAGGTTAGGGAAAAAATATACTTTTTTTAAATGGTTTTAGTTTGTCCTTGTTAGATATGCGGTGGGTAAGGTGCAGAGCAAAAAATTCGCAATTGCGATTTTACCTGTTACGTACCGACTTACTTGCTAGTAATGAAAAATATTATAAGGCGTACCGCTCACTGGCTTACAGAGACTAGTTGTGACGTGGTGCCACATGAAGCCGGTTTCTAAGTATTCTATAGGATCCAAAACCCTCACCTTGCGGTCTGTAGATCTACAACAGTACATCCACTCCGCCTCGACTTTGCAGAGTGTAGTGCTTCAGGAAAACTTCGCGTCCGAGAAATGAAAAATGTTTCAAAGATTTATGAAATCCGTTAACACGCACTGCAGCAGTTTGGCGAACGCTTTGCCCTTTAATGTTTCATTAAATAAAAATAATTGGGCCTATTAGTGAAATGTGCATAGGATGTTACTATTTTAAGGTAACCATCAATAATTCACGCTCAATGAAATTTATAACTGCAAAGTGTTGCATATTTAATTATTTTACACCATCACTGTCTTGTGTATTATAGGATTTGTATTTTTAGTAGGTTGAGCGCCACCAGTCACCTATTAATGTCATGAGGGTTTTTAGCATATCCCCTAGGTGAATTTTACGATGCAAATAGGACAATTCTAGAGATGTCTACAACGCAACAATGACCTATGTTAATAGAAGGTTAATAGTTAAGATATAATAGAATATATTAATAGTTAGATATAATAGAGCTGGTTGCTAGACGAAGCTTCTTATGAACCAAATCCTTCCATTTGACCGCATCTAGCGCAGAGCAGCTCGAATCGTCGACGACGATTCACTGGCGCTGCGAAGGGATGTTGTTGTTGCATCCCTTTGCATTTTTTATCTCATTTACCACAAGGAGTGCTCTGAGGAATTGTTCGGATTAATTTCAGCCGCCAAATTACACGAACACACATCGCGACAAATCTCACTATACGTTGTACGTGTACGTTTTACTAGCAGTTTTCTTCCTCGCACGAAATCTTTGTGGAATCGTTTACCACCGGCGATTTTCCGAACGATACGATTTAGGGACCTTCAGGAAAAAAGCCTACAAGTGAAGATTCTTACCGATTATAGTCGAACCCGTTGCTTAATAATGCTTTAATTATTTTATTCTTCGACAGATGTTGGAAAATATTGTCAAGGTCGCTGAAAGTGTAAATGACTACCAATGTGCAGATTTTATTACCTCCGTGTATTTAGCAGAGCAGATGGCATCTATAAATGAATTGTCGCATCATATCACAAACATGAGCAAAATATGTGGTGATGAACATGCCGTTTACCACTACGATCAAAGGTTATTGAAGTCCTATCCACATCCATTTAACTTCAAAATGCCAGGAAACTAGAATTGAAAACAAATTTTTTGGAACGTTTTAAAATTTACCTTAGGAAATTTTGTCCTTTTAATTTAACTCCACATTCTATACATCCCTGCTATACATATACCTTACGAAATTGTAAATGTTATGTGTCTGTAAATTAAATGTATTTGCAAAAATAATAGCTAGTGGGGTGAGGTATATGTAATAAAATATAAGTATTAATGAAATTTTTATTTGTGTTTTTGTTGCCATTGTATTACTTAAAAACTCACCTAGTTGATATCTGACCATTACACGTATACCAGCAAATATTCTTACTAACACAGGACTACTGGGAATTTGCTTCCCAATATATCTACGAAAGTAAAATTACAAATGGCTACAAGTCTAATTTTCCCTCAGCAGCTTAGAAAAAAGTAATATGCGCCTCCTAGTGGAGAAATGAAATCACTTTGGTAAAGTCTACCTTCTTTAGGAGAATGCCATAAAACGTCATCAAAAGCCTATGTTTGTATACCCATGTTTGCGTTTTGATTTTATTGTATTTGTATAAAAAATTAAATTTTTCTGAATGTACCTATCTTTTTAGGCTTACGTTGTAAAACAACAAGAAACCCTTATAGTTTCGTCATGTAAGTCCGTCCGTCTGTCTGTGGTTTTATCAGAGACCCTAGGTACTACAAAGCTGTAATTTGGCATAGTTATAGATCCAAATCTTTACAACGTTGTTAAGGAGAGACTTGTGAATGATAAATTCGACACCTCATTCGGAGATCTTGTTCTATCACCGGGAAGGCCATCTGGCCTTCCCGGTGATAGAACAAGTTGCTAGATTTGAATATTATCGTGTCCTCCGCCTCTCCTCGGACCTCAGATAATCCTATAATATCCCAGTTCAACTTGTCTATCTCTTCTTTTGGCCACCGTGAGGGTGACAAACGACCGCATGGCGAGGTTGTCTGTTATTAAGTAGCAGGCTGAAAGATGTTTAAGACAAGTGAGACACATTTGTTTGTTCATTCAGCTGTGTAATGTTACTATTCTCTATGTATCTCTCACAGGAATTTTGTGAGACTTTTTTATTGTTATTATAATTTATTTATTGTATTTGTCATTGAAATTTTTCATAGTTTTAATATGCTACAGGAATATAAACACCTAGCAAGTCCAGCAACATCTATCACAGGTATCGTATCCATAGGAAGGGTGAATTTATTTGAAACAGAAACAAACTTTTTATTCAATATAGATTATAAATATTTTTTATTGAAAGCCACTCTTTTGTTTAATTACCACTGGTTCGAAAAAACACCCTCTGTCCTGAGAAGAACCAGCAGCAAATCCAGACTTTTTTTAAAATAACATTTTACAATCATGTATGTTACACAATTAACAACACAAAACAAAATAGAAATAGCTTGGTAGCGATCACCTCATTCCCAGGGGTTATTATCTAACATTTAATATTATAATAACCTTTTTCTTACAAACTTAGTTTTAAAGTTTTTAAACTTTGAGCAGGTCAAATTTTGTATATTTTCTGGGGATTTTGTTGTAAAAGCGTATACATCCCCCAATAATAAATTACTGACTCACTGGAGTCGAGTAACTGGTACCACTAGTTTGTGTCTGTTCCTAGTATTTACAGAATGAATATCACTTATTTTTGCAAAACTACTTTTATTTTTGTGTACGGTTTGGCACAAAGCGCTTCTTTCGAAGCTCCCTTCCTATGGGCTTCCCGAGAAATTGTGCAATTGGATCACCAGCTTCCTTGCAGATCGGAGCATCAAGGTCGTTGTAGACGGTGCATGCTCTGACTACAAGCCTATTAACGCTGGTGTTCCACAAGGCTGTGTGCTATCACCAACGCTGTTTCTTCTGCATATCAATTATATGTTGCTAACTGGTAACATTCATTGCTATGCGGATGACAGCACTGGTGATGCTCTATACACCGGCCGTGCCAATATTTCTCGGGACAACGTCGCTGAGTACCGGAACAAACTTGTGTCTGAAGTCGAGTCTTTGCTGAACAAAGTCTCGGATTGGGGGCGACTAAATCTAGTCCAATTTAATCCTCAGAAGACACAAGTTTGCGCGTTTACCGCTAAAAAGAACCCCTTTGTCGTATCTCCTCAGTTTCAAGGCACTCCCCTTCTTGCCTCAGCCAGTATCGGTATCCTCGGAGTCGACATATCGAGTGACGTGCAGTTTCGTGGTCACTTGGAAGGGAAGGCCAAATTGGCCTCTAAAAAGCTTGGCGTGCTCAGCAGAGCGGGACAGTATTTCATGCCGGCACACCGCCTGCTACTTTACAAGGCGCAAGTTCAGCCTCACATGGAATACTGTTCCCATCTCTGGGCAGGGGCTCCCCAGTGCCAGCTCCTTCCACTTGACCGCATCTAACGCAGAGCGGCTCGAATTGTCGACGACCGAGCCCTTTCCGATCGGCTCGATTCATTGGCACTGCGAAGAGATGTTGCATCCCTTTGCATTTTCTTTCGCATCTACCATGGGGAGTGCTCTGAGGAATTGTTCGGATTAATCCCAGCCGCCAAATTTCACGAACGCACATCGCGGCAGAACTCCCGATACCATCCACACCATCTGGATGATTGGCGGTCCACCACTGTGCGAATTAGAAGATGTTTTCTTCCTCGCACAACCTCCTTGTGGAATCGATTACCATCAGCGATTTTTCCGGACCGATACAACTTAGGGACCTTCAAGAAAAGAGCGTACTCCTTCTTAAAAGGCCGGCAACGCATCTGCGATTCCCCTGGTGTTGCAGTTGTTCATGGGCGGCGGTAGTCACTTACCATCAGGTGAGCCGCATGCTCGTTTGCCCCCTCTCCTATAAAAAAAAAACGTACATTATGTATTGAGAGGCCAAAGTTAATATATTGATTTCCTTAAATTTTTGTCGCAGCGACTCTTTAGGCTTTAAATCATAGATTGTTCTTAAGACTCTCTTCTATAAAACAAATATAAATTCAGTGTCAGTCGCGTATCCCCTTAGCAAAATACTAAAAAATACCTAAAGTAAAGTTTAGCTGTTTCAACACTGATGAGATTTCTAATATTTTTACAGCATATGCTGCAAAACTAAGTTTGCTAGCTAGTTTTGATATATGCGAGCCCCATTGAAGGTCCGCGTCAAGTTTGATTCCAAGATTTTTTTTAAATTACATTAGTATTTAAATGTTTGCCTATGTGTTTGACATTTGGAGTCATGAATTTCATACATTTCGTTTTAGAGCCATTTAAATGCTAATTATTAACCATAAACCAATTTGCTAATTTAGATATAGCATTATTTTCTTCGTCATATTTTATTAATTGTCGTTTTAATTTGAAAATTAAAGAAGTTTCAGCAGCAAATAGCACTATATTATGGTTTTCCCTTACTATGTAAGGTAAGTCATCAATATATACAAGAAACAGAAAGGGACCGAGAATTAAGCCCTGAGGCACGCCCATTTGTTGCATCGATCCGGAAGAACTTTTATTAATGATAACTTTTTGCGTTCTGCTACATAAATATGAAATAATTAATTTAATAGCATCACTTCTTACCCCGTAGTGTTGAAGTTTCCTGATTAATGTTTCATGGTGAACATAATCGAAGGCCTTGGATAGATCACAGAATATACCCAAAGCATGCTTTAAATTCTCCCATGCATTAAAGATATATTTAATCAGCTCAACACCGGCATCAATTGTCGAGCGACCCCTTGTGAAATCAAATTGATTTTCTACCGACTTCAAAAAGGAGCCGGTGCTCAATTCGACTGTTTTCTTATGTGTGTTACCTCATAACTTTTTACTGGATGAACCGGTTTCGATGATTCTTTTTTTATTTGAAAGCCGGTACTTCACGTGTTGTGGTCCCATATAAATTTGATCAAGGTATGACCAATAGTTTTTGAGTTATTCTTAATCATTTATATTGAAGTCGGTTGTACAAAATTTTTAATTTTAAATTATTATGAAGTAAATTATTTATATTAAAAAAAATTACATTTGATTAAGAATAATTTTTTCAAAGATCTTACCAAGTGATGGCAGTACAGAAATAGATCTAAAATTGGCGGGGTCTAATGTACTACTAGATTTAAATAAAGGTATTACTTTACTATGCTGCATTAAATCAGCATTCGATACTAGTATTAAAAATAATAGCTAGTTGAGGCCCGATTTTATCTATTATAGACGCAATAACTTAAAAATAATAGCTAGTTGAGGCCCGATTTTATCTATTATAGACGCAATAACTTTAACGGAAATTACCCAAAGATCTGGAGCATAGATTAGAGTAATATATACCGGAATAGAGAGCCAGCTTCTAGGATTTTTGTCACCCAATACAAATAGTGGCACAGTGTCGCCGTCTGGTATCATATCTGTTGAACTAATCTCAATATTTTGACTATAGATATTTTTCCACTATGTTACTTCTACACTTCTCCAAGTGACATGCATTTACTGGAACAACCACAACTTTCTCATCTACTTGCTTTTTGTGAACTTAAGGTAAAGAAACTAATTGTCCACAGTGATCAGAACTCAATTTTTGAATTATACATTTCTGCAATGGCTTAACGTTTGTAAAAATGTTATCTATACATGTTGCACTAGATTCAGCAATACACGTTGGCACTAAAAATAAATTAAAAAGACCATATGATCTAAACAATTATCTAAATTTAATATTCGTGGAGAAAGCTTCTAGGAGACTGATATTAAAGTCTCCAGATATTACAACAGATTTACTCTGTTTACTAAGCTTAATAAAAACTACCTCTATAATTTTTTTAAAAGTATCATATATAAAATATGGGGTCTGTAGACGCTCACAACAATGAGGCGCTCAAACTCACAACATGCCATTTCTACAGTTCTCTCAACAGAGAGGCTCACAATTTCTTTATATTCTTTACATGATAATAATTTACTAGCTAATATTAAGGAGTCGCCTATTAAAACCGTTTCTCTATTGAAAGAACTGACCACATGGTGAT